CAGTTAAGTGTCCGACTCTTGATTTTGGCTTAGGTCCTCATCCCAGGGTAATGGGATCAAGCCCCGTGTCAGGCTCCATGCTGGACAGGGTGTGTGCTTGGGATTCTCTCTCTTCCTCTCTCTCTGCCTTCTCCTCTGTGGGCATGCATTCATGCTCTCCCCAATAAATAAATAAATAAACATTTTTTAAAAATAAACAAATAAAATGTGAAGTAGATTGAATTTGGTTCTCTCTACACATTCATGGTTAATTGTGATTTTAGAGACATCAGGAAGGCTTGCGTGTCTTCATTGTCTCAGATATTCCAGTGCTATCTCTGTAATTCAATTTCAAACTAATTCTACTTCTGAAGTTGTGGTCTCCTCTTGGTACTTTAATTTCTGGAGTGTCTCCAGTGGCTTAGACACTGTGGTAGACACAGAAGTGAGGTGTCTGGCCTGGCCCCTCTATCCCTATGAAACTCGCATCCCTGGGCTACCTCAATTCCATCCTGGAGATTTAATCCATTAGCATCATATTATGAGACATATTTCTCCTGGGCGGGCAGCCAAAATCAGGGTGGCACAAGCAAAGCATAAAACCCAACTAACTCTTTTTAGCTTATCCGTTGTTCTCACTTTTGATATGCGTTGGATTTATGTCTTTCTAGCAGCAGCTGGCTGCATAAGCCCCCCAAAGTCAATCAATTTTGTTAATGAAGAAAGGAAGGAAGGCAACAGACTTGTACATCACAGACCCACAAGAGACTGAATCTGGGGCAGAGGGCCCAAGTGGCATGCTGTGAGGAACGCAGAGTCTGTCTGATGTTAGCGAGAGAGAAGGGGCAAGGGTCAGCTGATGCTGGAGGAAGGGCAAAGGCAAGGAATTTCCCCCAATTCACTTTTTTCCCCCCTAAGCAAAAACATCTTTACAGTCTGCTAATTTGAAACTGTGAGGAAATGTATTTTTCTTCAACCTATGGACAAGTACTTATTTTTAAAACACTCTTTAAATTTGCTGTATCAAAATTCTTTTAAGTCTTGTGGAAAATATAATTCTGTGGCTCGTATGATTGTATTTTATTCTCCACTATGAATTATTTAGAGCATCCTCTCTTTTAAGTGTATACCAAAACATCATTAGAGGTTATCTAATAGCCAGCTCATCATTTCATTCCCCCATTGAGGCTTGTGGGCCAATTTTCACCCTGTTATACTCTCCAGAATAATGACACTAATTTGGGATCTTGCTGTGGAATTAAATGCTTATACAGACCCCACCCCCTCTGAGACCATAAACATCTGCCATAACATTTCTTATAGCCAAATAACCGTACTATTACCAGGATGACTGAGAAACCAATGAGTGGAATAAAAGAGTCTAGGTACTGGCAGAAGTGTTCTGGGAAATACTGCTTTGCCAGTGGTTTGTAGTCTAAGAAATTTTGGCACTATTCCAAACAACCATTCCATTATTCTTAGATTCTCCATTATTGTTTTCTAATCTCAAGGATGTAACTGTAATTAGGCAACCATTTAGACTATGAGATAGTTGTAGACCTTCTTAAGAAGCATTTACAACTGTTGTTATCATACTGATAACGTGTTACATATGTTGGTCCCTTATTATGTACATACACTTTCTAGATCCTTTAACATTTTCTCAATCCTCACACTGACCGCGTGAGGTGACTATTATTATTATTTTTTTTTACCATTTTATAAATGAGAAAACTGAAACTGAATGAATTGTGAAGCCACATTACATGTCCACTAAAGAGCCCACCCAAAATATAAATTCAGTCCATTTGGCCCCAGAGCTCCTGCACATGCCCATGCACTGCCTGGGCTGGCAGTGAGTAAGACAGGAAATTTCTTAAAGTAGCAGGGAAGACTTACTACAAGGTTTGAAGGTAGAGCACTGTAGTGACAGAGAGTACTTTCTAGCTAAGATCTCCATTTATTTCCTTTATGCAAAGGGCTCAATGACATAGGTGGTAAAATAGCCAGAGGTTAGGATACCACAGCCTCAGGTCCCTACTGGTCTTGCATCAAGGCCCTCATCTCTTGTCCCCTCCTTTTCCTCCAGCCTGTCTTCCTATGAGGTCTCCTTTCTTTCCAGATCCCTTGCTGTATCTCCTCTCCCGTTATGCCAGCACTGTCCTTTCCTAGCTCCCTTGCTAGTGCTTGTCCCTTCTCTCTACCCTTACTTTCTTGGCCTCTCCATCCAGAATTTGGAACACTGCCGGTGAAAGTCACTCAGCTGGCCGTTTTTACTCTCTGACAACTCCAGTCTTTGTCTTACCTCTGGGTGGTTTTCTCTTCCATCCTCTTCCATGTTAGCCAAACCTTCCGCCTTGCCCCATTCCACTATTTGTAAGCAGACGGCTTTGCCCCTGTTCTTTTCTGAGAAAACCTAGATCATCATGAATGCACTTTAACTTCTCATTTCCATTTATAATAATGACCTTGGTCCTTACTCACCTCTAAATTCTTTGATGATCCATGTGTCTCTTTTCGTAACCAAAACAAATCTTTTCACCTGAGCTCTTGATCACATTTAGCTCCTACTCATGGCCATAGTCTTTTAAATAGTCTTTCTCTCTTCTGGCTCTTTCTCCAAAGATTCTTTTATATTTAAAAATATTCTTTTAGGGGCACATCTCATTCTTGATCTCAGCTCAAGTCTTGATCTCAAGGTCATGAGTTCAAGCCCATCATTGGGTTCTGTGTTGAGTGTGAAGCCTACTTTAAAAAATTCTTTCTTTATTATTGTTTCCTTTCTAAAACATAGTTTTCACTCATTTTCTGCACTTTTATACCTACCAGTCATTCAGTACACTGCAATTGCCCTCATCATGCTAAACAAACAGCATGGGCCATGTCATCCATGCCCACCCCGTTGCTAACTCCAATGCTGTCCCTACATTCAATTACCCTTTCTGCAGCTTTTATCACTAGTGGCCATTTTTCTTCCCTTGATTTCCCTAACATCACTTTCTCTTGGTTCTTTGCCTACGTCTCTGATTATTCCTTCTTGGTTTCATTTGAGTGCTTCTTTTTCTCACTTCACCCTTTAATTGCCAGTGTGTTCCAGACCATCTATTCTTGACCAACTTTTCCTTTTACACTTTCTTTGGGTGAATTCACCCATTTCAGTTGTTTTGCCATTATTCTACTGACTTCCACATCAACATCTTCCCCCTAGATATCTCTTGTATATGTTACATCAGCAAATCTAAGTTTCTATTGGATATCACTCAAATGCCTGCAGCTCCTTCAACATATCTGAAATTAAATAAAATGCCTTCGAATCATTCCATATTTCTCTTAAGCCTTAGCCCTTCCCCATCTCCTTTCTCCCTGTGCCATCTCCAACCCCATCTCTTTAGGGAATGAATATCGTTAACTCTATTAATTTTATGTTTTTTATATTTGTCTCCTACTCCCTGTCTCCTCTGCCTCTTACTTTGGTTTAGGACATTGTCCTCTACTGAAGTATCATCTTCATCATCCCCCTGCCTAGCTTTGATATCGTTGGTTGAAACTCCACACTATTGCACAAGTGATTTTTCTAAAATATAAAATAGCTGATAGAATTCTCATGCTATAAACTGTTCAGTGATTCCTCACTGTTGTCACAAAGCCCATACTCCTTAGAAAAGCTTCTCCTAGTATCCTGACCTAAGCTTCTGCTTGGTTCACACAATGTAATGTAGAGATTGGAAATATCACAGCCTCATTTTGGAGCATATTTAGGAATTTTTGTTCTTTCTATAGTTTAGTAAGAAAAAAATATGGCTTTCAAAAAAGAGATATATTATAGGGCACCTGGGTGGCTCAGTCAGTTAACACTCTGACTCTTGATTTCAGGTCAGGTCATGCTCTCCAATTTTGTGGGTTCAAGCCCCACATTAGGCTGTGTCTGACCGTGCAGAGCCTGCTTGGGATTCTCTGTCTCCCTCTCTCCCTCTGCCCCTCCCCTGCTCATGCTCTCTCCCTCTTTCTCTATCAAAATAAATAAATATTCAAAGAAGAGATATATTAAAGTCTAAAAAAATGTTGAAGTATATTTAATTAGAAGGTGTTCTACTTGGCAAGGCAGACTGGGGAGAGGCAGGTCAAATTTGGAAAATGTGAGAATACAAAAAGCAGGATATGGAATGAAAAGGTAGGAAGGGCTTTCAAAATGGAATTCTGTTCTACATATTATTTAAAGACACTGTTGTTCCTGTAGTATATATAAAGAGAGATAGTACCACTTCAAACAGTTCCACTTCTAAAATGTTCCCAGTTGTTATTCCGAACTCCATGTAGGCAAATATAGTCTCCTGTTATGATAAAAATTTTATTAACCTAGCTATCTACTGAAGATTTTATGTAGCAAATTCTTTCTTATTGCCTCAAGATTTATTGTTGACTTTGGGCCAACCCACAAAAATGTTATAGTCACTTCTCCAAAGATAGTTGTAGACCAGATATTCCGGCCAAATTGTTCTAATTTTGAAATCATAGGCATATATTTCACAGTTAAATTTTTCTTTATAAGCTCTCTGTAGGCTCTTAGGAACATACAGAATTAATTATAAATTCTCATTAATTGTTTAGTATTTCTAAATCACTTTAAAGAATAAAGAGAGGTATCTTTATGCTAAACTTTTTACATAAATGAAGCAAATATGACAAAATATTGACATTTATTGGCTCTAGATTGAGGAGGGAGAAAGAAATGGTATTTCTATCCTGTACTATAAACACTTATTTTTGACAAATTATATAATGGGAGTTTTAACATAATAATGATATTGTCAGACCTTTCTAAGTGTAAGGATTACCATATAGGGGCCTCTGAGTTACCTATTAACACAGATCCCAAGTGCATTAATGCATTGTCCATTCTAGCACAATATCATTTTGTGTAAAATCATTAACTTTGACTACTGAGTGAGAATAAAAAATGTTGATGGTCTTCATGGGTATTGTTTCCTGTATATTATGAAATAATTATTTTATTTCCCCAGGGCTTTTCAGCATGGCTTGGATGATTCTGCTTCAGATTCTATGAAACCAATTTTTAAGCAACCATTGCATTGGTTTTCTTGCATATCACATTTCTACCCTTCTTTACTCAGGTGAGAACCTCTAAACGCTTTACTATGTAAAATTTGGTAATTCATTTAAAGTTTGAGAGAAACTTTTATTCATCAAGGTAAATGCATCTCTCAAAAAGAACTTACAAATTTTTATATTATGTAGGTAAGTAAAAAGTATTACTTCTCTTTTTATTAGCTCAAGAATCCAAGATACAAACTACATAGTCATTCTACTAACTTATAGCTTTACTGATGTAATGGCAAGTTGTGAATTTTTGGAACTTAGTAGTTCTATTTTAGCTAATTGCTTAGCCAGCTTAAAATTCATCCTTTTTGATCTATTACTGGGGATTTGACAGTACAACAACTAATTATAAAATTAAAAAAAAAGACAGCAAAACTTGATAACTCATGTAACTAGAGCCTTAGGTAAAAGTTGAGAGAGAAGAAACATTAAAACTTATGAATAGGGCCTTTCACTTTTATTATTTAATTGACAGCATTTAAACATAAGGAAAATCATTTAAAGCATGAAATATACTTCCAGAATAATCTGATGACATTTGATGGCATAATATAGAATGTCAATTTGATTCTTTGCTGAATATATCATTGGAGAGTGCCTTGGCTTGGTATCTGTGAATAAATATATCATGTATAGCTGAAGGAGATATTGTTAATCCCCATACATTCTTGATTCATCTTGGAAATACCCTATCCGTGATTTCACTCTCTAAATTTACTGACTGTATCTCTCTCTCAAGAAACGAGTCCCTCCCAGAAATAAGGGTGTGTAAGCCTCCTACACAAAGTCTCCATAAACACAACAGCTATATCTTGTTGACCTATTAAGTGGCTCCATGTAGGTAATGAGGAATCCAAGATCAGTGACACATAGACTCTACCTTCAAGTGTATTGTTGTTACTTCACTTACAAATGAAACATTTTCACCATCTCTGATTAACTCCTTATGATTGATTCCTAGAAATGGAATGGCCTCAGTACCCTGTTGTCTCAGTATCCAGCAGGTTGCATGTAAATAGACTCTTATGTCATTGAAAAGGAAAGAGCTGACTCTAAAATTCATTATTGCAAAAATAAGAAATTAAACAACTGAATCTTTTACAATGTGAATTAAAAAAAAAAAAACTTGTCATTTTGATGAGTTCCCAAACTTCTAAAACTTTTTGTTCTCCATGCTGTCACAGTTGCTTTAATCTTTTAATATTACCACTTCCATCTTAATCCATAGCCATTGATCTGTAACCTATTTCCTGTAGAGTCTATATCGTATATATCCTCTATAGGTCCTAGATCTATACTCTATACTCTATAACCATCTATAACTTTAGGCATTGCTCATGAGACTTGCACCTTCAGGGTCAATCAGCCTAGAAAGAGGTCTGGAAAGTCAGCATGGAAATAGGTTTATCTTTCAAACAGCAACTTCTTATGTTTAACATCTTTCATTCTTCTATATATGAAGCAAGTATAAAGACTTTTCTTTCTCTCCCCTTATGTGTAGCAATCAGTCTACACTATTATCCTTCACAGACATCAGCACTTGAAGATCACTAATCAGTCCATAGTAGAAACACAGTTTGGTACGAGCTTTTTGGAGGACTTTTTAGTAAGCTCTGTCAAAAATCTTAAAAATATTTTTCGTCTTCTGAGGACTGATGGATGTGGGGGGGAGGGGGGGATGGGCATGAAGGAGGGCACTTTGGGGATGAGCACTGAGTGTTATGTAGAAACTAATTTGACAATAAACTATTTGTAAAAAAAAAAAAATATATATTTTTCGTCTTTATCCAGAAATTTATAGGAATCACTCATATGGATTTTTTTTTTTTTACAAATAGTTTATTGTCAAATTAGTTTCCATATAACACTCAGTGCTCATCCCCACAAGTGTCCTCCTCCATGCCCATCCCCCCTCCCCCCCC